CCCCAAAACCCCAAAACCCCAAAACCCCAAAACCCCAAAACCCCACTAAGATATGAAATTTCATCTAAGGAAAATTTGAATTTAGATGTGCTTAATATATATGATAGAAATTATGGTTAATGGGATATCTCTAATAATAATAAGAAAGGTTAAGGATAAGAATTATTTGAAAGCTTAAGCCATACAGCTAGTTCACAAATCTTCAATTTCATTGCCACCGTCACCTTCTTCTTCCTTCCAGAGGGAGAGATTCTCCTTGAGAAGTTCGATGATGGATTTGGCATCTCTGAAGGTCTCCTCGTCGCACTCATCAATCTTGTCGAGGGCACTCTATAGTGCGGTTTCTCCTAGTTCGCAGGCCTTCTTGTGATCGCTCATGACCTCGTAGTAGAAGACTGAGAAGTTCAAGGCAAGTCCGAGTCTAATTGGGTTGCAGGCACCTAGTTCTTTGTTGGAGATCTCGGAGGCTTGGTTGTAGTACTCGAGGGCACCGTTCTTGACTTCGGTGAGTTTGTCTCCATGTGCGGATTCAGCGACGTATCTATAGTAATCACCAGCCATCTTGAGGAAGAATGCCTTTGACTCACCGTTGCTAGCGAGTTTCAAGCACTTTTCCTTGACAAGGTTGACAATGCTCAAACATTGGTTGAACAACTCTTCCTCAATCTTCTTCTTGTACTTGCCAAGAGCATCGGCGAACTTCTGATACTTTGGATTCTACTCGATAGCGCCAATGGTTCTGATTGCTGTTCTGTTTGCTCCGATCAAGTTCTTAAATCCAACGCTCAAGAGGTTTCTCTCCTCAGTAGTGAAGTCTGAGTCTTTCTGAGCGACGACCTCCTTCAAGAAGTTGTACATGTCATCGAATCTCTCAGCTTATTCAGCAACTCTGACCATGAAAATCTTCTCTTCCATCTTAGATTCTATTAGTGTCTAAATTCAAATTATAAATTCAATAAGAACTTTCTATTTAATCAATTAGCTTAATACTCTTTTTAAATTCAAATTTTCACTAGGGGGTTTTGGGGTTTTGGGGTTTTGGGGTTTTGGGGTTTTGGGGTTTTGG